TTGAAAAAAAAAAAATTAAAAAAAAAAAATAAATAAAATAAAAATGCAGAAGTAAAATAAACCCGCTATATATTTTTACGCATTGATGTACCTTCTTAAAACAGTTAACAGGACAGTATTTGCGGACTGGCTGTATTCTTTTAAAAACCAGTAAACAGTGAATATCTAATTATCATTATTATGCAAACAATCTGCATGTAAAGTCTCATAAGGCAAAGCAATTCAAGAGATCCGTCACATCTGACCTCTATCCCTAGTGATGAACAGAAGTACGTTACTAATTACAGCACCCCACTGCTGACCACCAATACTGCATAGGAATTGCTTTGAAAGCTTTCAGTCTCAAACGAAGTTTCTTACCATGAATCGAAGGTGGTAGAACTTACCTGCAAGTAAACATACCTCCCAATCTTTGCCCAGCAAAGATAAGCATAAAGGTCGAAATAACTTCAAATCTCCATTTAAAATGTTGTTGTAAAAAGCATTTTTACATGGTGTTTCAACCTAGCGGGTTACTCGCATCCTAAATTTTCAATGCCAGAGTTGTTACATTTGCAAACTTCACAGAAGTTTAACGTTAATATGGTAAAACTTGTGACGTTTAAATTTTCTCCCTACTAGAATAATTTTAGTCCAAACCCCAGAAAGCTACTAATATTTAAGGGCAAGATCATTCCTCAGATCATCGTCAGATACTTCTGTCACTGCTCTTAAAAATCTACCCCTAAAATAACGTTGGGATCCTTGGCCCATCGCACGTAAAACGAAGCTTCCAAGTGTGGAAGTCAGGCATCACAAGTAGAAATGAAACATCAGCGAGCTCAAATGTTTCTTCAGTAGGCCTTCGACGACCTTTACCCCAAGCCCTTCTGCTTACCTGAAGGCCACCCCAGCCATATCAAACAGGAGCCTCGCGGCTGTGGTCTCATCGCTATCGTGGTACTTATCAGATATGAAAATAACTTCTTTGATACCTTTGACACCAAAAGAAGCCCCATTAGTATATGCACAAATAGATACGGCAACAGAACGCCGTATACCGATACGGCAATATACCGAGCCCTGTCGTGTCTATGATTAATCACCTTTTCCCAGTGTGCTTACACACAGTGTCCAGTTACTGAAATACATATCGGCCACTTTCCAATACGGCAGACGATGTTATCTTTAACCTGCCCTCCAGTCTTTATAGATTTTTTTTTTTAACACATGCAAAGTAAAAACCTGTCAGGTAGTCGAGCTTTGATCCGATTAACAAAGTTTCTTTACTGAGGGCAAATACTCTTTAGTCGCAAGACAACTTCTGTCCGCTCAGGAGGCTGATGCAGGGGAGTGGACATGTTGGCGAAAATCAGAGGCAAGTGCCATCGTGGTTCCCAGAATGGTTCTGCAGACCAATTCCAGCCAACTCCATGGACAGCAGATTTGTTTTCTTTTCCTGTCCCGCAGGGCAGGGCTAACTGGAGGGCACCTGATACACCACCCTGCTCCTCCTCCAGCCCCTGAAGGGACCACATTGGGTACACGCTGGCGGAAGAAAACTCCACGACGTTCTTTAACAGGGGCCGGCCTCTGAGTCTGATATCACCAGACCTCTTCTCCTCAGAGACCCCCGGGCTCATGATGAACAGCCCCTTTAAACCACACATCTGGCTAACATGATAAGTCTTTAAATCTCAAGCTGAGAGCTTTATGGAGATAAAGTGTGGCTGAATCTTAGATGTGACAGTATGAAAAAGGTGAACTATTCAGAATACAACGGTGTAGATTTATGGTAACTGTAGCGTAAGGAAAACTTAAAGTAGTACCGTTCGAGTCTTATGACATTTATATGCGAAGATACGTTTAGGTCCTAAAACATCTACCATATATTAATACAAATTAAAATTGCATATGCAGCCTCCCAGCTGACCTTGCTTCTGACAGAAGTTCATTCCTCTCCCTCCCCCTAATCTATGCACAATATGTCAGAGAACAGTAAATTGACGGTAATTATATGCAACGCCGGTGTGGTTTTTTAGCAGCTTGCGGTTCAGGTTGCAAACTAAATTAAAAACATGCTAAGAATCGCAGAGGATACAATTAGTCTTACAATACCTGGCACCGTTCAAAACCAAAACACAGGAAATACCTTGCAAAGTTGATAGTGCAATTAATTTCGGTCCAAACAATAACAATTTAAGACCAAGCACTTTTGCAATGAGCCGCCGATGAGCGGGCAGCGACGCAAATGTGACAAATGGAACCGGCCCAGCTCCTACCTGCCTGGATGATGAGCTTAGCACATTCATTACAGGGAAACAAGGCAACGTACATAGTACAGCCTTTCACGTCGGCCGAGTTTTTGTTCATGATGGCATTCAGCTCGGCGTGGCACACTGCGGGTTCGAAAGAGAAAGAAAAGAAAAACAGCATAACTGACGAGGAACGTACCAACGCTGCCGAAGCATTCCACTCGCCCCTCTGAAGAAGACACATGGAACAGACTCGATTTTTAAAAAAGTGATTAGAAACGGAAAGTACCGAGAATACCAAATGAGGGCCGCGTGGTCTAACAAGTTGGCTTTTAGCAGTAAAACCGTTCAGGGGGGGCTGCAGTCCTGGGTCTGTAAGCACCTGGCGCGGCCAGGAGGGGCCAAGGTCAAGTATCTCTACCCACCCTAAGCACGGCAATAGCTCATGGCTCCACAAGACCCTGGGGTATGGAACTGCGCACATAAAACGGCTCATTTGTGCGTTGCTACTCACATGCAAGGATATTCGCGGTGGCCGTTAGGAGGGCGGGGTGCGATTTTAAGAGCAAGAGAACCAGGAAGTGAAGCTGAGTGTTTCTATCCCGAGGGATCCGCTTCACCCCATGGATCTCGGCCCACATACACACAAGAAAAATGCCGGCAGACAACCAGCGGCTTTTCGTTTAGAAGGAAACATTCGTCCACTTAATGAAACGTCAAGTTCTTGCCACACTGGCCCGTGCCGGCAGCGATCCCCAAACAGCGATCCCCACACGGGCCTGAGTTCAAGGGTGAAGGGAGCACCGCCTCTCCTCTCCCACACCTGGAAGCCCACCCATCTTCCCCAGCCGTTGGCCAGGTGCTCCCACCTCCTAAGCTTCAAGGTGCCCTCTCCTCAAGGAATCACTACTCCCAGCCCTGATTCTGTTTAGAATCCCCTGCCCGCTCAGTGAGGTGGCCGCTTTGCCCTCTTCTGTCGTTATTCAAGTTTCTGGGTGCATCGCTCAAACTGTATCATAATCTGCAAACTCGTCTGCACTTGTCTGGGGTGTGGCCTGCCTGGGATGTGGATTTCTAAGAGAATCGCCCTCATGATTCTCATGTGCAGCAGACACGTTTCAGAAACACTGCGTTGCAGAATCCTCTGGTAACTCCAAGGGGACTTAACACACACTAAGCACACAAGCAGTAAAATAAATGTCTGTTGAACAAATTAACGACAATCTGGCCGTGGTCCAAATCATACAAAACTGCCAGAATTATAAATATGGGGGCCCTCCAGGGGGGCCCCCCCACCTTCTCCAACCCACCAACCTTCTACACTTAACACCCTCTTCTGGGAGTACTGAAGCTTTAAATGAAGAGCAGCCTAAGCTCGTGGCTCTTGTCCACATTAGCTGTGACACACTCGGTCCCTGAATCGGTATTAATATGGCTCAGCCATATTAATTATTCTGGCTCAGCCAGGATAAAGCCCCTGGCCCACCTTCCGCCCCGGGGCCGCCCGCTTTTCAGGTACCGGTAGAATTGCAATGCCCGCCTGTGCCCCTGTCCTGGGGCCCTCTCAGGAAGCATTGGGAGGGCTCCTTTATAGTCTCTGAATGCCACGACTGAGGGGGTCTTGGTCATATGTGTGGAAATGAACAGTTGCCGGGCATTGTAAGAAATTCTAAAAAAAAATAAATAAATAAACTGCGCTTAATCAGATCACAGCCCGTTGGAGAATAATCCCCGCCGGCCACAGAGGGACCTGGGCCACCATCCCCAAGATGCCACGAGAGAGAAAAGAAAGGCTCCCAGGCTCAGTGGCTGTGAGGACACTGGCCTCAGAGAGGCCCCTTTTGGCCCCCATTTACATCCCTGGTGACCGGGTTGTTCCCAGGCTGAGATTAACAACGGCTCCCTGTAAAAAACAATTAGATGTAATTGTTTCTTTTATTTCCCCCTGGAGGGCAGAGACCAGTCTTCTAGGTTCTCTGTAACTCCCCCAGAGTCCAGTGCGGTGCCATGAACATAATGGGTGTTAAATATTTATTGAATGAATAAAGGAGGAAATGCAAGATTCCAATTATTGACGGTGACATTGGGAAATGCAGGAAGTCCTCCTAAATTCAAATATCAAAACTATGCTTTCCCATCTAATAAATATTTTTTGATAGTGTTGGTATTAATACTCAGAACTACAGAGTTTCCGAGTCTGTTAGGAAACACTATTCTATTGCTTTCGTTTGAATCTCTAAAAATGGTCACACTGACTCCAACTGTCTTCCTCTAATTCATCTGAGGCAGTTTGGGGACAAAATTTAACATCGTGTGGTCTGGATTCATTAATGAAAATTACCATAGGAAACAGGTTCTCGGGGGCGGCCTCCGACATCCCTGTATAAAGGGTGGTCTACAGAAAGAATACACGGGGTCACAAACAGACTTCCTTTCTCTCAGCTACAAAATCACAAGAAGCAACATACAAAGCTTCTTGTTTGTTGCAGAGATGTGAGGTCTACTGGGCTCTATGACACTCAGGAGGCCCCCGAAAAGGGACCATTCCAAGTCCCCAAACCCGCGGATCCAAAACTGGACAAGACGAACGCAAAGCTCCAGTGTTCCATCCACACTTGACCTTCTCTCGCTCATCCCTGTGCCCCCTCAACTTCGGTCCTGACAAACGCCCCCTCCAGCCTTCCCCCCAGAACCCCTGGCCCGCCAAACCTATCTGGTGAACACCAGCTTCCCAGGCTGAGGAGGGAAACCCCAGCCCAACCCTGCCCGGTGATCTGCAAACTCCTCACTTCTGTCTGTCTGTCTGATCCTGAGGTCTGAGACGTTTCTGGCCTGGCACCGGCCTCTGAGGTCTGCGCTCCACACGACCTCTGCGGCTCTGACGCTTGGCCTCCCGTCCAAAAGCGCCCTGCGTTTCCCTGCAAGAGTGACCCATCGACGAGGCACCATCTGGTCAGGCCTCGGGCCCCCACCACGTCCTCACTGAGGAACGGGCAGACTCACGTGACTGTCCGTCGGATTCGTTTACGGTAGGCCGGTCAGAGTGGGGTCTGAGGACTCTTTTCACCACCAAATGCCAGGTGACCCCCAAATCTGCCTCGGGCCACAAAGAGCAGGCTGGCCTGTGACGGGCTGGCCCCAGGGCTCTGGCCAGCCTGACTGCAGGCTGAGAACCTTCCCTCTACTCTCCACCTCCCAGGCAGGGGTGGAGGAAGCAGGAGCTTTGCGGTCAGCACCAGGGTCAAGGCCCAGCTGCCCCTTGAAGCTGTGTGACCCTCACCGAGGCATGTGCGTGCCTTTGGCTGGCAGGAGGAAGCGACGCTGAGAAAGTGAACTGCCGAGGAACTAAATAAAAGCGAGTTTTGCAACACCAGGTAATCTAATTTTTGGCCGTTTGCTCTTGTGTCCAGTTTCCTCCCTCCATCCACTAGAACAGCTGGTTCTTCTCCAAGACAGGCTCTCGATGGCAAATCACGAGGCCCCGCTCCTGAGGCCCAACGGCCTCGTCCCCGCGCCGCGTCTCTCCGTTACAACCGTGGCCTCGGTCTCCACTCTGACCGGGCCATCTTCTCAGCATTTTCCTTTCGAGATGAAACTGTCCTGTCTACAAGCGCTAGGCTAATTGATTTTTAAAATTATCATCTCTTGGGGTGGCTGGGTGGCTCAGTCGGTCAGGCATCCAACTGCGGCTCAGGTCATGATCTCGTGGTTTGTGAGTTCAAGACCCACATCATGCTCTCTGCTATCAGCACAGAGCCCGCTTCGGATCCCCTGTCCCCCCCCTTCTCTGCCCTTCCTCTGCTCTCGTGTGCACTCTCTCTTTCAAAATAAATAAACTTCAAAATAATACTAATAAAAAAAATAATCATCTCTTCACCCAGTAATGAACATAAGCTCGAGTTTTCACTAAATCAATCCTTTTCAAACTGTAGGTCAAGAAATAAGTTTACTGAGTTACAAACAGCTTTTTCATCCCTCTTTTTAGTGAAATGTTTGAAAGCAGAAGAGATCTGAATGTGTCCATATGACAGAGGTTAAGTGCTGTTCCTAAAAACTGTTTCAGGTGTGTGTGTGTGTGTGTGTGTGTGTGTGTGTGTGTGTGTGTGTGTGTTTCAAGTGTGAGCTATGTGTGCTGGGTTGCCGTGTAAAAAGTATGTAACTATGGAAACCTGTTGACCTCTGTAATATGTTAGTAACATTTACAATCATTGGGGGGGGGCAGTGGGAGGGGGAAAGGCCCTGATTTATAGAATCTGCTGATTTCGGGGGTGTGAATACTCCCACGTGGCCAATTTCAAGCTCCCGACAGACAGACAGTTGGGAAGATAGAGCGCTCAGATGAGCGGGGGAAGAGCCAGCTCCCACATACCCCCCTGGACGGCCTTATCTTCACCAAAATGCAGTCTCCAGATGGGCCTGCTCGCCAGGCCCATGCTTACGGCCAGCTCTCCACTCGAAACCCTCTCGGGTGCGCACCAGGCCCTGTGGAGTCTCTTATGTTTCTGTGGGTCCTTTTCTTTCTCTTGTCTTTTGGGGCCTTTCCCAAGGTCCGGTCCTGCTCTTGGATTTTTTTCCTGTGGTCACTAAGAATCCATGCATTTGCAGATTCTCAGAGGGCGGATCTATCGGTTAATAGCCTAGAATCTGCATTTCCAACCCACCTTCTCTCGGCCTTTGCCTCAGGTGTTCTGAGGCTTCTCCGTAACTCTTCTCACTATGATAAAACACTCCACAGATATCTGACGGCAATAAATGAAAGAATAAATCGATCTTTTCCCAGTGCCAGCATTTTTATTGTGTTGCCTGGGAATAACGACGTCAAGAGTTGCAGAGAGGTAAGAGCAAAAACCAACCAACCGGGAGAGGTTCTGTTCGTGACCTTGAGATGAACGTAGTTTTTATACTCATAGCAAGAATAGGACCAAGTATCCCAAACATACACAGGCCCTAAGAGGTATTCTTAAGATAGCTCAACTGTCCAAAAAAAAAGGGACAAATTTTCCAACTCTCTACCCAGAATTACTCATCTCTGACTCAGTTATAAGCAGAAGAAACCTCCAAGTACAAGTATATTTGATAAGCACAGAGGATGACACACAACCTTTCAATTATTCTCAACATTGTTGAAAAGGAAAAGAATCAAA